GCGTAGATTTCGTCCGCAATGAGCGGCAGCTGCAGCTCCTCGCAAACTCGGATCAAACCCTCTACGTGTTTGCGCGAGAAGTTGCTGCCGCAGGGGTTCGACGGGTTGTTCATCAGTATCGCCTTTGTCCTGCCGTCAGCCAGGCTTCGGAGGTGATCAAAGTCAATCTCCCAGTCCTTCTCGTGGTTACAGCGGTAGAACCGTGGCTGGACGTTGTAGTACCGACATAAGGTGTCATAATGGGCGAAGAAGGGTGAAGGCAGCAATATATTATCGCCTTCGCCGCACATGGCACCAATGCACATGGAGAGAGCATCAGAGGAACCCGAGCTGACCACGACATGATCCGAAGGGATCTTTCCCTTCATAGAAGTGGCAAAGTGCTCCGTCCAGTACTTTGCAATCGCTTCACATGTAGATGGGAATCCCGTACCAGGACTGTAGTTGTTGCAGTGGGTTGACTTGGCACACTCCACAACATTAGTCGTAAGAGCAACAGGCGGCGGGAAATTTCCGTCCAGCGCGGGATCTCCTATCGCCAGTGAAATAAGTGACTTTCCCGACGCACCTGATGCAGAGGCGGCCTGCAGCTCCTGCACAAAACTCAGCATTTCATTCCCACAGCGTAAACTCCGCTTTGATGCCTTCACCTCCCTAAAAGAAAGTGTCATTGCCCTCAGTCTGTTATCCCTTTAAAATATGGCGCAACTGCTGCCACAAAAAAAATAAATATATATATATATATATATATGTATACATGCACACCAAATCAAAACAAAGGTAACGACAAGAACCACAAAGAAAAAACGTAATGCCACTCCACAGACAGAAAAAGAATAGACACCAAGCAAGCGTAAACATTCCAGACCACAACCCACAAACATCCACAGAAACACACACACTAGGATAAAAAACTAAATCCTCGTCCCCCACTACATTCTACCGTCACTGATTCATTGTAATAAGCAAGTGGGATAACCACCGGGACGAATCACCCCAAAAACAAAGGCCTCCACCACTCAACAGTCAATGAGTGAAGAAACAAAAAAAGAAATTCCCTCGTAATACTCCTAACTAACGAAAAAAAAAAAACTACAAGGAAACCCGCCAAAAACAATAAAAGGCAAATATCCTAAAAGCACTTCCCTAAAAAAACACATCTGTGGAGCGTTTTACCACAAAAAAAAAGGACTAACGTCGCTAGCAAAAAAAAAATCAAAACAAAACCGACAGACCAGCCATTGGTCATTCCGTCGGCGAGACGTGCTGCTTGGCGCCAGCATCTTAGCTCTTCACCGGGGCAGCGTGGCGCTGGCAGAACGCCTTGATGCGCTCCACCGCATCGCGGTACACCGAGATGGGACGCGTCGTCACGACCCGCATGAA